TCTATACTGTATGTACCTTTGTCTCTCTGTGTCTATACTGCATGTACCTGTGTCTCTCTGTGTCTATACTGCATGTACCTTTGTCTCTCTGTGTCTATACTGCATGTACCTGTGTCTCTCTGTGTCTATACTGCACCTGTCTACTCTCATCTACTCTAAATTTCAAAACTGTTAAAATTGCTAACTCAGATCAGAGAATTAAAATGGTCAAACACAAAGAATATAGAAAACATTGGTCCATCGGGAGTTGACCAATGTCCATGAATGTTGACAAATGTACATAAATATTTAGAATTGTCCAGGACTTAAGCGACAGAACGACGGACCAAGGCCACTCGGCTCCGGACTCAGGTTGTAGAACGAGTCAGAACGTGTTGGAAGGGTATTATCTGTCACAAATCGCTTCAATTCAGTGGATTTAGTTAAGTCCACTGAAGAAGGGTTCGAATCCTGGCCGGACCAGGGCCTTTCTGAGTGGAGTTTGCATGTAGGTTTCCCCTACCACTAAAAACATGTACAATAGTTCTGGCATGTGCCTCCTGTACTGGCCCCGCTCCCATCTCTGTGTGGAGAGAGAGACAAGTGCCCAAAAATAATAACAATTGTAAACCGCTTTGTGACTCTGGTCTGTGAAAGGCGGTATATAAATGAAGATTATTTACTTACTTACTTAAATCCTAAATCACAAGAGCAGTTGTCTCCGAGGACTAACCCAACAAAGTCGTCGATTCATAAACAAAAAGCCTCTACTTTCAACCCCACTTTGCCTGAAGCCCCCGCTGAAACACCCAGATGTGTACAATTAAAGGGGACAAAGATGAATAAATGAAAGAATAAACTCTAGTCCTTAGACCCTCCTGCATCGACAAGGACGGACTCAACAATGGTGATCACATTCAAGTATGTTCTGTTTCTATAGAGGTATTTGAATGCTGCAGTGGTTTCTGTCTTGTGTCACACGCACACACACACACGCACACACGCACACACGCACACACACACACACACACACATCAGTCTGTCTCTGTCAGGTGCTCTGGTCTGAGCACTGAAGCGTACAGCAGGCCAACAGAGGCCTGTCACTGTGACACATCCACTCTGTTCTTCACAAATGAAAAGAAAAGGTTCAAGACACTGCAGCTGTGGTGCTTTTCATACATGTGTGTATCTGTGTGTGTGTGTGTTTCTGAAGGCCGTTGATTCTCTTGTCTTAATCTTAATACTACACATCTTAAGCCTGTGCCATTAATAATTAAGTGGTGACATCTCTGTTGTTGCACTTTGATACAAACAGTATAAAAGCGTTGTCTCCCTTTGGTCCATCTGGAAGGACTCATCTGGGGTTCGAATCCCGGTTGGACCAGTGCCTTTCTGAGTGGAGTTTGCATGTTCTCCCCGTGTCTGCGTAGGTTTCCTCCGGGTGCTCCGGTTTCCCCTACCACTAAAAATATGTAAAATAGGTCTGGCAAGTGCCTCCTGTACTGGCCCCGCTCCCAAAAATAACAATTGTAAACCGCTTTGAGACTCCGATGTGCAGTGAAAAGGCGGTATATAAATAAAGATTACTAAAGATTACTACTACTACTACTCAGGGTTACAGGGTCGACCGCTGCTGCCTCTGTCGTCATTACTCCACAGATTTGGTGCAGGCATTCAGGGACATGTGTGGATATTTATATGCATTTAAAAACAATCCCTACGAGTCCAGACCAACGGCTCCAAGTGTTTGTTATTATTCCATTTCCTGTTTGAGCTCGTCACGGTCTCTTTTGAAACTTTGGTTTTATTCTCACTTCAGTTCTCTGGGGTTTTGTTTTACTTCCAGTCCTGTTCCTCTGTCTTGATTATCCACCATAATCCATCGCACATATGACTGGAGGAACATCTACAAAGACACATTGATAGAGAAAACTAGTACTTTTAGAGTACTCGTGTGTGCTCAGGAGTACACATGTGTTTCACCAGTGTCTCTCCGTGTCTATATGTACCTGTGTCTCTTTGTCTATCTGTACCTGTGCTCTTCCCCATCTCTTGCTGGTCCATGTTCCTTGTTCTGTTTTTCTCCTAGACTTTTTCTTAAAACTATAACCATTAAATCATCAATAATCTTTTGGTGTTCCTATATTTTCGGGTCGATCCTTGATTTGACCTCATGACACTCGACCAAAAACTTGTCCAGGTCCAGGACAACGCAATTGAACAAACAAAAGAATCGCGATTTTATCTTTCCGTCCACGGCCTGAGCGCTCTCCTGCTGCCTTGCATATCAAACAGCGTGCTAACCACTCAATTAAAATCATTCAGAAGAATCCATCAATCCAAATGTCGTGACTCCTGCTTTGCACCGGTTGTGTCTGTGGCGAGTGTGCGGTCTGCAAATGGACTTTAAATTGGAGCTATAGGCGCGTGAGGGGAGGTCCGTCTTCTGAGGAGAATTAGCATAGCCGTGACCTGTAATTGTGTGTGTGCGGGGGCTCGTTGGCTAAAACGGTCATGACGAATCAATGTTGAGATGGAGAGGCCGTCTGTGCAGGTCCAGACTGAACGCACACATGCCACGACAGAAGGTCATTGTTGTCAACGTGCAACACAAACGCACAAACATGTCTCATCAGATACAAAAGTTAATTTGAATACACTACTAATGGGCCGTATCACCAAATCTATATGAAAAGGGTTTAAATACCGGCTGTGTGATGCTAATTGTAAGCTAGCTAGCCGTGACCACTCCCTCTACAGCAGGAGTATGCAAGTCTGGCCCAGTCCCGACACTGGCACTTCCACCTCGCGCCTCTCATTTGTGCGTTCCCGATGATGGGTGCGAGTGCGCAGGGTGTCCCAATCTCCAGGGTGATCTTTGGCCCCGCCCCCTTTGCGCCCCGGATCCACACTTTGCCGTAGCCTGTATCTATTCTAAGCGGACTCTGGCAAAGGATATTGCCCATAATTCTTTGCGGTACACACCAAAACGTTGGGAAAATGCATTTAAGTGTAAGTTTTGAAATATATATGCTGTATGTGTGTAAATAAGTTTTGCTGTTACTTGGATAGAAGCATACATGACTAATTGAAGAAGAACGGACATTCTATGGAAACAATTTAATAACTTTTTAAATCCAAGCGTTCATATAACATTCCATTTAAACTTTACACTCAGTACAATCAACTTAGGATGTACAAAAACTCATCAGATAACCGTTAGTTACCCACTTTTAACTTAAAATTATACCGCTATAAAATTCCGAATAACCAAACCATGTATTTCAACGTGTGTGGAGCAACTCTCTTTGTTTCCCACAGGGTCAGACAAAATGAAAGTTTAGGTCTGAAAATGACCATCTCTTGACGAGTTGATGACGTAACCTGCACTGTCCCAATTCTGCTTTTATTGCTGTAACCTGCCACTCAAACCCCTGCGTGCACTTCAAACAAATGCACACTTTGTAGAGGACTGTAGGGGGCAGTGTGGGTAATGGGACTGTGCCTCTGTCCTCAATGAGTTAGAGGAAATGGGTGGAGTCTGGGGTGCTCTTGTTTGGTTGGAGTGAAAACCTGCAACCACACGGCCCCTTCGTGGACCGAGCAGAATACCCGTGCTTTACAGTCAATGGTGGTGACTTGAAGAATCCTCCTTGTTGAATTCAACTGAAATCTTTCGCTTTTTTCAAACTTGTTTTGAAGAAACGCTTGATCCAATCACTCGACACGAGTGGTTTTTATCTTTGAGCATATTCTGACTGTCATTAACAAGATTTGCAGATAGGACGAAGCCATTTACTCAAGCACTGTGTCTTTATTTTCTCATTCAAGGGAGACATTTCTTGTATATTTTTTAAAACAAGATACTTTTGCTTTTTGGGCGTGGGCGGCACGGTGGCTGAGTGGATAGCACTCTCGCCTCTCAGCAAGAAGGTCCTGGGTTCGATTCCCGGCCGGACCAGGGCCTTCCTGAGTGGAGTTTGCATGTTCTCCCCGTGTCTGCGTAGGTTTCCTCCGGGTACTCCGGTTTCCCCTACCACTAAAAATATGTACAATAGGTCTGGCATGTGCCTCCTGTTCGGCGACCCCGCTCCTGTCTCTGTGTGGAGTGAGAGACAAGTGCCCATAAAATAACAATTGTAAACCGCTTTGTGACTCTGGTCTGTGAAAGGCGGTATATAAATAAAGCTTACTTACTTACTTACTTTTTCCCTTTCAACAATTTCTGGGTTGAGGGGGTTGATCTGGTGAGTCCACGGGAGCCTTGATCTTTCAGCGAGGGCTTCAGGCAAAGTGGGTCCAGGGTCATTTTGGGAACTTTCCTCGCCTGGTTTTGTTTGTGTATAATTGTATACTTTGTTTTTTTCAGTACAACCTGGGAATATTTTAGAATATCCATAGAATAGAGCTGTCACATCAATTATATAAAAATTATGGAACCATGAAGACAAAGAAAAAATGAAACGGAAAATCACTTTCACAAAAATGTATTGAAAAAACACAATTAAATTATATAAACAACTTTTTCGACTACATAGAAATGTTATTTTGGGTCTTGGGGATAATGGGGGAAAAAATTGAATCTGTGACTATTATACTTTTTACAAAATTCCACTATAAAAGCCCAAAACACTGGACTCCTGATGCCCTTCCTCAAGCAGGGGTTGCTTAAATGCAGTCAGAATGTCCTCAGTTAAGATAGATTTGTCCACATTTGAGCCATTGTTTTAGACTTATTTTCCCTTACTCTTCACATGCACCTACTGTATACGACATGTGTTTCCTGCAGCTGTCAATCACGGCTCTACCGCTCCCACAACGCACTCCCGATCCACGCAACTCACCGGGGACAATGTGCAAGCTCCACGCCAACCACCGCGCAACTATTTTTGGACCTGCGGATCACACTTTTATTTCATCCATAAATCGCATTAAGGTTAGCTGTCGTGCATACAACAAATTATAATTGTCAAAACAAGAGATACTACAAAGGCGAACGGAGTAAACACAGTGTTTGCGGCATGACAGGAGAAACGGCAAAACAAGGATCAGACGCAGCCACGTGTCCTGGAGACGAGAGCGGAGGCTTTGTTCTCTCTGCTTTCAAAGTCTGCAACTGCAAGAAGCACTCAGGAAATGCACAGGCCTTCTTCAACCGGACCATTATGGGACTCAGGTGAGCGTGGTGAAGATCCAGGACACTCCACATGCAATGACATTTATGGATTTTTATCAACATTTATGGACATTAGTTATCAGCCCCTTATAGATAGATGGATAGATACTTTATAGATCCCCGTATAGGAGAAATTCAGGTGTTAGGTAGCAGCAAAAATAACAAGTAAAATTGATCATTCTAAAAAGATAACAATAGTAATAATCAGCAACAGCCCTTCAGGTCACAGCAGCAGAGGTGGAGTAGCCTCTGGGTGGAGCAGGACGGGTCAAAAGGTGGAGTACCCGCTTGGTTTGACCATTTTCTCTGCTCTAGTCCAAAGTAAAATGCTTCATTAGCATTTTTTTAAAAAGTTAGCATTCCTCCAGTTGATTTTCACCTGATCCGCTTGGTTCGGACCATGAATCCTCTCTGCTCTGGTCTGGACCAGTGTAAAACCATGAACACTGTCCTGCAGCAACATCTCAGCTAGAAAAAAGCAATAAAAATACAAATTGATTAAACACAAAACAACTGTTTTAGAGCTACAGTACTTTAGACTTTCAGCCGTTTCCAGGCGCATCTTAAAAAAAAAAAAAAAACTGACAAAAAATGGCTCTATGTGTTTGTTATCATTGAATTTCCTACGAATTTACGGCTTTGTAAAGTGCTCCCAGATAAATACTGTTACTACATAAATACAATGAATTAAATCGTGTTGAAAGTCAAGAATACGGTTGATTATGCGTCGTCACTTTGTTTATTTCAGCACCGAAAGTAAATGTGTTGAAGTAGTCGTCCCTGTAACCTGGTGTAATGTAAATAATATTAAACAAATACAAAAAAAAAAAACAACTCTGCATTCATACTGATACAGACGTTGGCCCTTGATTACTTTAAGGAGGCTAAATTCTATCGCCATTGCTTGAAATGTTCTAACAAATTTGCTATGACCTCTTTATCTGCTCATATGCTCGGCCTCTGGAGCAGTATTACAAATATTTCTTTGGATGGATTCAAAATAAATTGAAAAAAAAACTTTTTGCATGGAAAGAAGTCTGGTCTGTGCTTTCTGATGCAGATTGGGGTAGTCTTACACGGTTTTTCCAATGTGGTTTTACTGCTAATGGCAAATACATTCTTGAATATTGAATCTAATACGTTGAGGTTGTCAGGATGCATTGACAAAGATAGATATGTTATACTTGCTTCTTTGTTATGCTAAAGCTACAGTAGATATTGGCTTACTGTTACTTATCTTGTACCCCTCATTCTGTGAATTATTTTCAGCTTAGACATGAGACAAGGAGACATCAGAAGGTTGCATTGTTCAATTGGCATTTATTAGCAGTTTTAAGCAAGATCCCAGACAGCTCCAAAGTCTGGTCCCTGGGCGCTCCTGCAGAAGTGTAGCAAGAGTCTACATAACTCTGCTTAAGTCTCTACAACTCTGCTTAAGTCTCTACAACTCTGCTTAAGTCTCTACAACTCTGCTTAAGTCTCTACAACTCTGCTTTAGTCTCTACAACTCTGCTTAAGTCTCTACAACTCTGCTTAAGTCTCCACAACTCTGCTTAAGTCTCTACAACTCTGCCAAAGTCTGATTGTCACAAAGAAGGATGGCGCTTATATACTGCAGGCCTTAGAAGACGACGTAAACACATAGACTTTGGAAACATGACATTGCAGAATGAACCGAATGGCTTCAATGTAAGGAACACTTAGGCCTAGAATGGCTTATTCACAGACCACAGTCCAATACATGAGATAGTACTGTATATCTATTCACCTCTGTAAGCAGTCACACATTTTAGGATAATTGAAAATCCATGAAACACTGTCGATATCAATTTGCGATATTATTTAGATACTCACAATTCCTACTGATCTGTAATTGATGATGCAACACTGACATTTCTTTATCCTTAATCTCAATCATAAAACGTTACGCAGCAACACAGTCCCCATTCATTCAGACACTTGCCCTTGACGTTTGGAGTGTCATTACCGGTCGTACATCTCCTTTAGTTCCGTCATTGGGTCGCTCCAGTCTCCGTGTTTCCGTGGCGATGCCGGAGGACAATAAGAGGCTACGCAAATGGAGGACAATTTGGACCGCGTTTGATTCGTCAGAGAGGGGTGGTTCGGCGGCGTCTCCCCCGGCTGGCCACTTACCACAAGAGCCGTCTGATGACTATAATCTAGCCACTCCAGAAGAAAAAAATGTTTCTTGCCGATGCAGGAGGAGGTAAGGGCAGTGGCGATGATCCAGGGCTCTCCACGTTCAAGGACTTTTATGGACTTCATCAACGTTTATGGACATTGGTCATCTGCCTCTTATGCACCAACGGCTCTATATGTTTTTGTATCATTTCATTTCCTGAGTCTGAGCTGTTTCTCTAATCTGTGTGGGAGACCTTAGGGAACGCCGCAGTGTCCTTATGCAAGACACTTCCCCCAAATTAGACTGCGTCTAGTGTGTGTATGTGAATGGTTGTGGGTGGGGGGAGGGGCTGATGGCATATACTGGTTGCCTCACTTATGCCAGTGTGTCCCAGGGCAGCTGTGGCTACAATAGTATCACCACTGAATTAATGACGACATGTGAGGCGTCTTTGAGTTTGATTCCAAAAAGAACTCTATATAAAACCAATGCATTATGCCATTAACTCATTGTCTGCCAGCAGTTTTTGATGATTTCACTGATTCTCAAGACCCACAGAATATTATGTGCTATGGGTATGTGAAATATGAAACCAGATTCTGAAACACTGGACTGTCTACTTTCATCAGCAAAAATAAGTTGTTTTTTAGCTATTTACGTTGTCCTGTGATCCCCAGGAGAATAGACGGAAGTTTGACAGAAATCACCAGTCTCAAACAAATACGTCCATGGCAGTCAATGAGTTAAATGTGCCAAAATGCCTGTGTGACATTGCCAAATCCTATTGCACGAACAAAGACAATGACCATTGACGACAACAGGGATTTTCAGTGTCCTAAAAAGGTTTGTAGTGAAACGGATGCATTATTTATTGATATGAACATGTGATATTTATGAAACAATGTTATTTCCCCAGATCAATGCATAAAAACCTAATGTATTTTACGACCAAACAGAATAGCTGTTTATCTATAGTCAGAAAGGCTAATCTCCGCTCTGGTATTCTGTTTGTAGAACGAGAGACGCATTCCGAGAAACTGAATCTCATTGACCTTCTCTCAAGACCTTTCATTTAGTGTGCCATTGCTTCACGGAATAGCTTTTACTTGATGGAACATTACTAATCTTGCGCGGTCTGAGAAATGTCAAAATTTGCTTAAAATTTGGATTTGATGGAAATTGGTCTCAAACGCAAGTGTGGCTGATCAGGGTTGGGATCACCTGCAGGATAATTGACGAGAGAAAATCAATTATGTGAGCTCTTGAGCTTAGGATCTGGCACCGATACCGGGTCAGAATTTCAAATGCTAAATATTGCGTTGCTATTAACCTTTATCATGTGTTTTTGTGCCAGAGGTTAATTGCAAATAATGAGCCTCAACTTTCTTTCTGCGTTTTCTGCGTAAAACACCACATTCCTCATAATCAAGCCTATCAAAATGTTTTAATTGAAAGAGAAATTAAGAAGTAACAATTTTGATCTCTTTTCCGGTCTCACCACCGTTTGACGAGTCTTCCATACGATTGCAATCAAAGCTCTGCTAATGAGACGGTTCTGAATGGATTTAGCAAAGTATGACAAGTTTGCGTTCAGCCAGTATGAGTTCGATTAATGGGTTTTGCATTTGGGGGCATGTATTTCACAAATGGGCCACGGAAAGTTATTAGCATGGCCCAAAATCCCCACAACAGTCATCTCAAGGAGCGTAATAGAACCACGGGCTAATGGACCACGGCAGGCAGGAGACTAGTCCTCAGGAGACTAGTCCTCATCTTCCAGTTACTACGGTGACCACTGCTCCAGACGTACAGTAAGCCTTAGTGGCATCCGGATGGGTTTGATTAATGGTCCTCGAGTCCAGGGTTTGAGGCTGGTGACTGGTCCTCGAGTCCAAGGTCTGAGGCTGGGGACTGGTCCTCCAATCCAACGGTTTGAGGCTGGGGACTGGTCCTCGAGTCCAGGGTTTGAGGCTCGGGACTGGTCCTCAGGTCCAGGATTTGAGGCTGGGAACTGGTTCTCGAGTCCAGGGTTTGAGGCTGGGGACTGGTCCTTGAGTCCAGGGTTTGAGGCTGGGGACTGGTCCTTGAGTCCAGGGTTTGAGGCTGGGGACTGGTCCTCGAGTCCAGGGTTTGAGGCTGGGGACTGGTCCTCAGGTCCAGGGTTTGAGTCTGGGAACTGGTCCTCGGGTCCAGGGTTTGAGGCTGGGGACTGTTCCTCGAGTCCAGGGTTTGAGGCTGGGGACTGTTCCTCGAGTCCTTGAGTCCAGTCCAGACCATAATACTAACAACATGCAAACCCTTTCAAAGAGATGGATACATGAAAATACATTTTAGTTTAAATCTTTCACTAACTCAAACCAATTATTCCACTTCTAAATGCCACTTATCTCGGTCTGGAGCTTGTACTGTATCTTGGCATTAGATTAAACCCAACTTTGTGTGAAAATAAATCCATCTCCATGCAATATGAATGAATATTGTGTCACTCTGACAGTGGGCCATTGATCCGGACTTAATTACATTCTCTCTGCCCTTCCAGGAACACACGGACACACTTCAGGAACGCACATGGACACACAACTGGAGTGGGCAGGTGACAGCCGTTGTCATGTCGCTCGATACCAGACTTCTCCTGGAGGTAATTAACAATCATAGCGTGTCCAGAGACAGAGCAGAAAGTGAGGCGTTTTTCTGCCATCCGCCAAACCCTTGAGAAATGTTCCGAGCTAATTGTCCAATTTGAGTTGGATAAAAGAGCTCCCTCCCCACCTGCTGTGCCGCTGAAAGTGCGACAAGTCGGTCTCATTACAAGAGAATTTGTTGTTAGCAAAGAGGACTTAGGAAAATAAACATAGCAAAAACAAAACAAATACAAAGAGAAAGAATGTGAAAATAGCTTTGTGAAGTCTTCAAGGTGCGGCGGTCAAATGACAGAAGCAAAAGAGACGTTTTGAATAAGTTGGGGAAGACTGAGCAGTGAAAACTTTTCCATATTTACTCCCAAATCATTTACTAAAAAAGAGAATCACCAGTTTCACCAAGCAGAATTTGGAAACAGCCTTCAAAAACCCAAAATGTCAAGACCTTTAGCTCGCAGATGCAGCAGCAGCAGCTTGAGCGACTTGGCCCGTTATTATTCTAAGTACACATGTAAAGTTGTTAAATGGACTGGAAGGTTAGCCGTTACAATAGGTCAGCATCACGCCACGGCCACACCGCCACGGAGAACACACACGCCAACCGGCTAATGGCGTCGTTCAAGCCCCATCGAGCCGCCGCACACACATTAGACTATCGTTTCAAATATTGACTTTTAATAATTGCCGTGTTTTATCCCAAGCTGTGATGGAGGAAATGTCATCGCGTTGTGGGTAAACACGGAAAAAACACCCGGAATGAATGCGATGAGGAGGAACTAGAATCTCTTCTCCGATTACGTGTGTGTGTTTACAACCAGGGGTGAGGAAGATGTGTTTTCGTTCTTTTTTTGTCAATACAAAATACACTTTTTTTAAATTTATTTTTTTTTAAAGATGTGCTGGGAAACGGCTGCAAGTCCTTATAGCTCTGAAACAGTTGTTGTTTTGTGCTTTGCTTCTAGCTTTTTTCTACCTGAGATGTTGCCGCAGTACAGTGTTCATGGTTTTACACTGGTCCAGACCAGAGCAGAGAGGATTCATGGTTTTACACTGGTCCAGACCAGAGCAGAGAGGATTCATGGTTTTACACTGGTCCAGACCAGAGCAGAGAGGATTCATGGTTTTACACTGGTCCAGACCAGAGCAGAGAGGATTCATGGTTTTACACTGGTCCAGACCAGAGCAGAGAGGATTCATGGTTTTACACTGGTCCAGACCAGAGTAGAGAGGATTCATGGTTTTACACTGGTCCAGACCAGAGCAGAGAGGATTCATGGTTTTACACTGGTCCAGACCAGAGCAGAGAGGTTTCATGGTTTTACACTGGTCCAGACCAGAGCAGAGAGGATTCATGGTTTTACACTGGTCCAGACCAGAGCAGAGAGGATTCATGGTTTTACACTGGTCCAGACCAGAGCAGAGAGGATTCATGGTCCGAACAAAGTGTGTCAGGCAAAAATCTGGAGGAATGCTAACTTTTTGAAAAATCTTAATGAAGCATTTACCATTTTACTTTGGATCAGAGCAGAGAAAAGGGTCCGAACCAAGCGGCTGCTCCACCTCTTGACCCGTCCTGCTCCACCCAGAGGCTCCTCCACCTCTGCTGCTGTGACCCGTCCTGCTCCACCCAGAGGCTACTCCACCTCTGCTGCTGTGACCTGTCCTGCTCCACCCAGAGGCTACTCCACCTCTGCTGCTGTGACCTGTCCTGCTCCACCCAGAGGCTCCTCCACCTCTGCTGCTGTGACCTGAGGGGCTGTTGCTGGTTATTACTATTGTTATCTTTTTAGAACTATATATTTTTTCAATTTTGCCGCAACTGGACACCTGAATTTCTCCTACGGGGATCAATAAAGTATCTATCAATCTACATAACAGTCAATACTCTGCAAAAAAGCAATGGAAACCTAGTCTACAAAATTCCCAAATTTGGCCAAATGTATCTAAATTTGTGCAAATTCTGAACAATTTTGCCAATGGGACAAAGCAAAATGATCTTGTTCTAAAATATATACACAAAATGGAATGAGAAAATAAAGCAACAGTTTTTGAAAACAAGACTAAATGTCTTTGTCTCATCTGCACATCTACCGTCAGAATGTGCTTAGATTGGGATAAAAACCACTGGATTCAAGCAATTATTACCTCATATTGTATTATTTTTTGCAGTGTATAGGACCGGTTTGCTCTCTCAAACTCCACACCACTACAATCAGAAAATGAATCCATCACTATTGTTTACACGGGTACAGTTTCAGGCATGCACAAGATATACAAACAAAAAAATTGCCACAGAAAACAACGCATAGAAAATACACACACTTATTCACATAAACACCGGTCCAAAACCCTCACTGACCCCTCCCCCCTCTCTCTGATAGTTATAGAGTGAAAACCTTAATCCTCTAAAACTAAATGAAAATTAACGATTAAGTTTGTCTTTGGCCAAAACTGATTGTCCTCAAACTGGAGACTTCACTTTTTAAAAACGAATTGTGCTCATTACGATCTGAGCTCATTTGGAGACTTTTCCATTTAAAAAGTTTCTAATTCATTACGTGCACTTTTTGCAGAAACAGCCTGAGCAGCAGTTTTTTGTCTTTAACTACAGAAGTTCCAGGATGTATGAGCGAATCAGCCGCTCTAAGTGCACGCTCCAGTAAAACATGGCCCCATTGGTTCATCCATAACTGTTATTTTTGAAACGGCCCAGAGGCCACTTCAGGAAACAATGTTTGTGTTCAGGAGAAAAGGGTACAGGGAAATGATCACAGGGACTAATGTTTACAGGGACTAATGTTGACGGGGACTAATGTTCACAGGGACTAATGTTGACGGGGACTAATGTTTACAGGGACTAATGTTGACGGGGACTAATGTTCACAGGGACTAATGTTCACAGACTAATGTTCACAGGGACTAATGTTCACAGACTAATGTTCACATGGACTAATGATCACAGGGACTAATGATCACAGGGACTAATGTTGACGGGGACTAATGTTCACAGGGACTAATCTTCACAGGGACTAATGTTCACAGAGACTAATGTTCACAGACTAATGTTCACAGGGACTAATGTTCACAGACTAATGTTCACATGGACTAATGATCACAGGGACTAATGATCACAGGGACTAATGTTCACAGGGACTAATGTTCACGGGGACTAATGTTCACAGGGACTAATGTTCACAGACTAATGTTCACGGAGACTAATGTTCACAGACTAATGTTCACAGACTAATGTTCACAGACTAATGATCACAGGGACTAATGTTCACGGGGACTAATGTTCACGGAGACTAATGTTCACAGACTAATGTTCACGGAGACTAATGTTCACGGAGACTAATGTTCACAGGGACTAATGTTCACAGAGACTAATGTTCACAGGGACTAATGTTCACAGGGACTAATGATCACAGGGACTAATGATCACAGGGACTAATGTTGACGGGGACTAATGTTCACAGGGACTAATCTTCACAGGGACTAATGTTCACAGAGACTAATGTTCACAGGGACTAATGTTCACAGACTAATGTTCACATGGACTAATGATCACAGGGACTAATGATCACAGGGACTAATGTTCACAGGGACTAATGTTCACGGGGACTAATGTTCACAGGGACTAATGTTCACAGGGACTAATGTTCACAGACTAATGTTCACGGAGACTAATGTTCACAGACTAATGTTCACAGACTAATGTTCACAGACTAATGATCACAGGGACTAATGTTCACGGGGACTAATGTTCACGGAGACTAATGTTCACAGACTAATGTTCACGGAGACTAATGTTCACGGAGACTAATGTTCACGGAGACTAATGTTCACGGAGACTAATGTTCACAGACTAATGTTCACGGGGACTAATGTTCACGGAGACTAATGTTCACAGACTAATGTTCACAGACTAATGATCACAGGGACTAATGTTCACGGGGACTAATGTTCACAGGGACTAATGTTCACAGACTAATGTTCACGGGGACTAATGTTCACGGGGACTAATGTTCACGGGGACTAATGTTCACGGGGACTAATGTTCACGGGGACTAATGTTCACAGGGACAAATGTTCACAGGGACTAATGTTCACAGGGACTAATGTTCACAGGGACTAGTGATCACAGGGACTAATGTTCACAGGGACTAATGTTCACAGACTAATGTTCACAGGGACTAATGTTCACAGGGACTAATGTTCACAGACTAATGATCACAGGGACTAATGTTCACAGACTAATGATCACAGGGACTAATGTTCACAGGGACTAATGTTCACAGACTAATGATCACAGGGACTAATGTTCACAGACTAATGTTCACAGGGACTAATGTTCACACACTAATGTTCACAGGGACTAATGTTCACACACTAATGTTCACAGGGACTAATGTTCACAGGGACTAATGTTCACGGGGACTAATGTTCACAGGGACTAATGTTCACAGGGACTAATGTTCACAGGGACTAATGTTCACGGGGACTAATGTTCACAGGGACTAATGTTCACGGGGACTAATGTTCACGGGGACTAATGTTCACAGGGACTAATGTTCACAGGGACTAATGTTTGGGACTAATGTTCACAGGGACTAATGTTCACAGACTAATGATCACAGG